GTTTTCACCCTAAAAACAACCCCCAAACCGGCCGTTTTCACCCCAAAATCCCTGGTTTTCACCCCAAAATCCACCCCCAAAATCCGTCGTTTTCACCCCAAAATCCACCCCCAAAATCGGCATTTTTCACCCCAAAAATCAGCATTTTTCACCCCAAAATCCACCCCCAAAATCGGCATTTTTCACCCCAAAATCCACCCCAAAATCGGTATTTTTCACCCCAAAATCCACCCCAAAATCGGTATTTTTTACCCCAAAAATCCACCACTCAACATTTTAACCCCAAAATCCACTCCCGAAATGGGAATATTTTACCCCAAATTTTACCCCAAAATGCGAACTTTTACTCCGAATTCTGCCCCAAAATGGGGATTTTTAACCCCAAAATAGGAATTTTTACCCCAAATTTTCCCCTCGAAATCCATCCCCAAAATGGAAATTTCCACCCCGAATTTTTGCCCCAAAATGGGAATTTTCACCCTAAATTTTGCCCCGAAATGGGAATTTTTACCATAAAAATGGTAATTTTTCATCCTATAATCTCCCCAAAATCCTCCCCAAAATCGGCCGTTTTTACCCCAAAATCCCCTCCGAAAATTCCAAATTTTAACCCCAAAATCCATCCCGAAAATGGCAATTTTTACCCTAAAACGGGGAATTTTAACTCTAAAAACGGTCCCAAACCGGGGAATTTTCACACCAAAATCCACCCCAAAAATGGCAATTTTAAGTCTAAAAACTGGGATTTTTTACCCCAAAAAATGGGAATTTTCACCCCAAAACTCACTTTAAAACCCACCCCAAAAACGACAATTTTCACCCCAAAACAGGGAATTTCCTTATTAAAATCCACCCCAAAATTCCGAATTTTAACCCCAAAATTCCAAACTCCAACCCCCGAAAATGGGAATTTTCAACCCCGAAGTCCACCCCAAAATTCTAAAATTTCACCTCAAAATTCCAAATTTTAACCCCAAAATCCACCCCAAAATTGGGAATTTTTACCCCAAAGTCCACCCCAAAAATGGGAATTTCCACCTTAAAATCGACCTGAAAATTCCGACGTTTAACCCCAAAATTCCAAATTTTCCAACCTTGAAAA